TGTGAAGGAATTACATGTTCACTAGCCAAGGCACTTTATGGCAACAGTAATGCCCTGCAATAACCTGACTTTATGACAACAAGCTCAGGTGAGCTGCTTGTCAGTCGCTGGCCCGAATGACACAATCGTCTTCATGGGTGGAGCTCTGGTCCTGTCACCTGTGGGCTTTGATCAAAGGCCCGTCCTCTCTGCCTGGTGCCCCCGCACTGGTTAATTAGGCGTACTTTGCTCAGCCTTTCACCACGTGCCCCTCAAGGTTTATTTATTGGGGAGCAAAGCAGGGTTTGTGCTTAGTGCTGGGTTCCTAACCCCAGGCCGACTGTGGGACTCGTGGGATGTGAAGGGTCCCCATGTACACGTTGTATGACCTTGGACAAGTCACTTAACTTCTCTTAGTCTGTCTCTTCATCTGTAAAATAGGAAAAATAGCAATAGTATTCCTAAGGGTTGTCGTGAGAAAGCATTCATTCATTTAACAGATATTTATTGAGCACCTACTATGTGCCATGCAGGTTCTGAAGTTGCAGCAGTGAACAGGGCAGACGAGATTCCTGCTTTCATGTTGCTGACCTTCCAGTGGGAAGGAAGACAATAAACGAGTTACCCTATCGATATAGTTTCAGAAAGCTTTTGAAGAAAATAAAGTGAAAGGCATGCATGAGAGAGGAGGGGCGGGAAGTTTAAGTCCAACTAGTCAGGGTCTAAGGATCCTCTCTGAGGAGCTGACGCTTAAGCTGAGACCCAAATGATAAGATGGAGCCGCTGAAGAGACCTAGGGAAAAAACATTCCAGGGTGAGCCGTAGGTGCAAAGGCCCCGGGGCTAGATGAAGCCCAGTGTGCTTAAAGAGCAGAAGGAGGGTGTGGCCAGGACCACAGTGAGCATAGGCCAGCCTGGTGGGAGATAGAGGGGAGCCAGGTAGATGGGGTCCACAGGAGCCAGATCAGGGAGGGTCTTATGGGCAAATCAGGAAGTGGGCTTTCATTCCCTGGAAGGGACACCACGGGAGGGGTTCAGCCAGGGGCATGCCAGAGAGTGAAGACTCTGGCTGCTGTGAGCAGAGTGGATACAGGAAGCCCAGGTCAGTAGCTGGTCGGCCTCACTGTGGTTACTGTCCCTTCCCTGGGGGATCAGGAAAACCCAGATCCCTCACACAACCACCAGGCTTGAACCCGGGGACCCCCACACCCACTGAGTCCACCAGTCTGTTCCCGCTGTCTTGATTCCCCGAACAGTGACTCACATATTAAGACAGTAAACGGTTGCTGTGCTTGGGTTAAAATTATGCAGACTGCGTGAGATATTAAAAATCCAAGGAGCATATATTTTGAACACAGGGAATACCAGAGTGTAGCTGCTTTATTTAAGGAATTACTTGGCTGGTGTGAATGGATATTTATCCGAGCTTTTGCTCCCGGTATGGGGGAAAATAGGTTGCTAAAAATAGGGGGATCCTCGGCCTGTTTTCGTGTGATGGGTCCTGAAATATTGCCCCCACCTTTCCCATCCCCACCTCAGGCTGAGGATCCGAACAGATGTGCAGAGACCTTGCCCTGGATGAGCTTAGCCTGGGAAACGGTCTGCAGCCTCTTAGGCGAGTACACGCCAGGGCCTCTGGAGTCCAAATCCAGGCTCCATTCTGTCTCTAGCCCCCTGGGTAACCTTGTGCTGGGACCAGGCTCCAAGTGGCTGCTTCAGGCCCTTGAAGACAGAGACAGTACTGCCCACAGTGAGGGCTGCTGAGAGACTGGAAGTGTAGCCCTCTGGGCTGGGATCTGCACTGTGAGCAGAGGCCCTTCATCCCAGGGGCTTCCCTTGGGTGGGCATTGGGGTTCAAGTGGGGCCAGGGGCCCTCAGAGCCTGACTGCCTTTGGTTAGAGGTCAGAACTGAGCCAGAGGGAGGGAGACGCACTCACTGCCTGCAGAGTCCACAAGGGATTCATTTCACAGATTGGGGCATCACCCTGGAGGTGGAGTTATAGGAGCCCCAGCCAAGTCTGGCCCTTTCAGGGGAGAAGGCCACCTCCTCCTCTGAGCCTCCTGCCAACCAGCACTTTCCATGCCACCTGTCTGCTTGGACATCCCTTTCATTCAGTTAGCCACTCCCTCGTTCATTCGTTCATTCATTCATTCATTCATTCATTCATTCATTCATTCATTCATATTCGGCAACTGCTGTTGGTCCGTTTCGTTGCTAGTCTCAAGTCCTCAAGTGCAGCGCCTGAGACCAGAGAGTGGCCGGAGCTGGCAGGAGGCCTAGACCAGAGAGGGTGTCGCCCTCCGCAGGAGCAAGGACTCCAGCTGGGCTAGACAGGAGCCCCACTCCCTGACAGAGTGGCCCAGAGTAGTCGGAGTAGGTCATTCTCTGTCCCTAGGCAGAGGGCTAAGTGGCAGGGGAGCCTTCCACCTCCCTCCCCTGTCCCCCATCTGGCGAAGACAGGGCCAATGTTGCTGGGAGACCCTGGCCATCATGGGGGATGGGAGCTGGCGGCAGATGGGTGGGCACAAGGCCTTTTCCAGGCAGCTGCCTAAGTATGGGGCCTGCTTTGTTGGGTCTTTTCAAGAGCTGTGGCCACACACAATGGGGGGCCAGGGATGCCCCCTTTCCTCGCTTTGTTCTTTTACACCTGCTGGACCACCTGCTCCTCAGAAGGCCCCGAGCCCCTTGCCTTTTCTTCCTGCTGGCTCCATCCTCTTCCTGCTCCCCCTCCTTCAGGCCCCCAGGAATGACTCTTCAGGGCTCCCCGCTGGCCAGATCCCCACTCTTCCTCCCTCGTGTTCCCAGCACAGCTGGGCTTACAGGCCTTTGCGCTTGCCTACCCCAAAGGGCCCTTCTTGCCTCTCTCCCCCGACCGCCTACTCACAACACCTGGAAAGACAGGGCTCTTCAAATTTGGGGCTCCCATCGCCCCGAAAAAATTTTTGAAAACTTCAGACGATGCACAAACATTTTTAGTTGGCATCTAAATGTTTTCTTCGTCAATGTAAACAGTTGCAAAGGACGTCATTTCCAGCACACTGCGGACCAAACAACGGCTTTAAATCAAATCTCATCACCACCTTGAAGCTATAGATGCTGTCCATTCATTTTCCCGAAAACTCCACCATGCAAACTGAACGGCAAAGCCAACCCTCTCTGCCAAACCGCAAAGCCGGGTCTGCCTGACTTTCAGTCAGGAAACGATATGAGTCCATCTTTCAATTCGTAAACCTGCCAGTGTGTATCTCTGCATTGACCATCTCTCTGAATTCTATTTCGAATTCTAAGGTGGGTAAGGCATTTGACGCCTGGATGAAAAAAGGCTTCAGTGCCTTCTGTGTTTCTTACTCACGCCACCTTTTTTTTCCTGCCGCTGGGGGTCCTCCCTCAGGAGCTAGACTCTTTCAGATCACCTTCCCTTTCGTGCCCTAAAAAAATTATTTTCTTTTAAACTTTTTATTGTGAAATATAACACGCAGAAGCCCATTGTGTGTAGGTAAAGCTTGCGTCGAAACAAAAGCGTGCAGCTTAATAATTTATCAAAAAGCAAACATTCAAGGCAAGGAATGGAACATCTTGAGCTCCCCAGGAAACTGTCCCCCGCCCCAGGTCTTCTCAATTGGTACCCCTCCATCCTGTTCAAAGGTGACTCCTAGCCTGCATTTTATGATACGGATTTCTTGCTTTGTTGCACAGTCTTATCACCTATACCTGTCTGGTTTGGAACATGATATCGATGGAGCCCTGTAGCACGTGTTTTCTGGTGCCTGGCTGGTTTCACAGAACACAGTCCTGGGGGGTCATCAGGTTGGTGTGAAGCTGTGCCTCATGCCTTCTCATTACTGTATGGTATTCCATGAATATATTGCAAATTATTGGTCCATTCTACTGTTGATGGACGTTTGGATTGTTCTGAGTTTGGGGCTATTTCGAACATTTACAAGCAGGTCTTTAAGTGCATATAAGCGTGCATTTCTTTGGGTGTGGATCTAGGAGGGGTTTTGCTGGATCACGGGGGTAGATATATGTTTAACCGTAACGATACTGCCAAGTGGTTTTCCAAAGTCATTGTACCACTCTAAAGTCCTATCAGCACCACAAAAGAGTTCCCATTACTCTACATCCTTGCCAATTCTTGGTATCATCAAAACTTAAAATTTTAGCCAATCTGGCTGGGAAACCACGTGACTCAGTGTTATCTCATTGTCACTTTAATTTTTCATTTCTTCTATTATTGATGAGATTCAGTACCATTTTATACATTGATTGGCCATTGGAATATTCTAGTTGTGAAATGCCTGCTTTTTGCCCATTTTCAAATACTGAGTTATTATGTCAATTTGTAGTTGTGTTTATTCTGGAAACAAGTTAAGTCCTTTGTTGGTTATATGTGTGATATATCTGTTCCCACTCTATAACTTGCCTTTTTATTTTCTCATTAATGTCTTTTGACCAAAAAAGGATGTTCAATTTTAATGTAGTAAATTTTATCCATTTCTTTGATGGTGAGCACTCTCTGTGGCATGTTGAAGAATATTTCTACCACTCCCCGGTCATGGAGACGTTGTCGTATGCTACTTCCTGCAAGTTTTACTGTTTTGCCTTTAACATTTAGATCTACAATTCCCCTGAAATTAATGCTGCAAGTGGTATGAGGTAGGGATCAAGTTTCTTTTTTTTTTCTATGTTGATATCCAGTTGGCCCAGCACTAGTCATTGAAAAGATTGTCCTTCTAACCCCCCATCCTTGTTTGTGTCACATTTAGCATAAAACATGTGTCCAACTCTTTTCTATTATATTCCCTTGGTCTTTGTGTCCATCCTTGTAGCAACATCACACTATTGTATTGGAAGACTCAATATATTTTAAAAAGTCAGTTCTCTGCAAATTGATTTATGGATTCAATGCATACAACCCTAGTCAAAATCCTAAAAGGTGTGTGTGTGTGTGTGTGTGTGTGTGTGTGTGTGTGTGTGTGTAACTTAGATAACAGGTGGTAAAATCTATGTGGACACACCAAGGGTGAAGGATAGCTATTTTTTGAAAAGGACATTTTTTTAAAAAAAGAAGAAGAAAGTGGAAGAATTTGTTCTCCTGGACACCAATACCAATTATAAAGCTCGTAAGGCAGTGTGATCCTCCTTGCTCTGGGCCTAAGGAGCCTCTTCCTTCTGTAGGCGAGGGGTCAGTGGGATGAAAGACCCAGCTGTGGCGTCCCAGGACAGGTCTGAGTCCACTGCATCCAGCTGTGTTCCCACGGGCCAATCCTTCACCTCTCTGACCTTCAGTTTCTTCATCAGTGAAATGGGCAGAGAGGGTCCCATGAAGCTGGAAGGAGACCATGGAAGGGAAATGGCTCTGTGAGCTGGAAAGCACCCCAGGTGTTGGGTTTCCACAGATGGTCCATCTGTAGGAACTCTCAGGGCTGGGAGGGGAGGCAGGCTCCCTGTCAGTCACCCACCCCTGGCTGGCCCAGGACCCCAGCTCTTTCCACTTCCCCTTGACTGCCGGATTCTCTCAGACCAGCTGGGGTATGGTGGGCAGTCTTTGCTGGTTGTCCCCAGCAAGAGTGGCTGCTCACCCCATTGTCTGCACTGTCTGACCCTAAGCCTGGCACAGAACAGGTGCTCCAGCAGTGGTCGTGAGATGGAGTTTTATAGAGCCCTGCTGGGATTTCACCCAGGTAAGGGACCAGTGATGGCAGAACAAGTGGGGGCCAGAAACTGTTGGGGGGAGGTGGGAGAAAGAGGGCAGTTACCTTTCCACACCTCGGACAGCATCAATGGCCCTCATTTACAGAGACTGGAGAACCTTCTGAGCTCTGCCTTCTCCTGGCTGCATGAACTCTGCAGTTTCTTCCTCTCTTCGCACTTGGGTTTCCTCCCCTATAAAACAGGAATTGTAATAACCACGCTGCTGGGCTGTGAGGAAGCTCACTCAAAGGGCGCAGCCTGGTCCCGCAATGTGGTTGGCACTTTGTAACTAGGAACTGAGAAATACTGCTTTTGTGGGTGAAGACATGCTGGGTTTGGAAATCAAGGGTTTGATAGGCAGGGTTTGCTGAAAAGCAGAGCCTTCCTGTAGCAATTTTAAGACGGAGCTTTGTGGTTTGACTGCAGTTTGGATGATGGGTTCTCGTGTTACTGGGAGGATTCTGAGCAAACGCCCTTGGGTTCCCAAGAGGAAGGGGTCTTTTCACCTAGGTATCTGCGGTGGGCTGATGCCACCCCCCCAACTCAGTGTGCACCCTTTTTACAAGATGCACCTGACTGCCTGCTATTGCATGGGGTCAGGGCCTGCCAGGGCATGCCCAGAGGGAACTGTGCCAGGAAGCCCAGCCAGAGCCCTCCCTCTACCCACTGCCCTGGGAGGCTGCGCCAACACTGCACAATCAAGACAGCAGCCCCACCCAGGGGCCCCTGCAACCCAAGCATGGGTGTTGGTGCCAAGGGAGGGTGGCATAATTTGTGTGATTCTGGATGTGATTAAGGGTGGGAGGGGTGTGGAAGTCAAAGCCAGGAAGGTTAGTTATGACTGGAGGCTGCTCTCCCTGCCCAGGAATGTGCCCCCGTCCCCTGATTGTTTGCATACCTTCTGTAACATGGACCTCTCTCTCTCCCACCTGCCCCACCTTTGTTCTAGAGACTGTACTTCTGTTAATGCATCCCTATTTTGTTTGTGTGTTTGCTTCTCCCTGCACCTATCACTATTGATCACACCAGAGTCCAGGGCTACTATCAACTAAAACTCACTCCTTCGCACTTCTTTCCTACCCCTTTCTTCTTCCCTCCCTTCCTTTCCTCCTTCTTTCCTTTTAGAGCAATACATCTCTATAGTCAGTTTATTCAAATGTGTATTGAGTATACCTGTGTATGCCAGTCCTGTTCTGGCTACTGGGGATTCATAAATGAACACAGCCTGGGTCCTGCCCACAGGAGGCTTCCACTTGTCATTGGAGAGCACACAGAGGGGTCACAGCTACCGCACCTGCCCTGGAGGAAAAGACAAAGTGCCTCATGGCCTCAGAGGGATGAGCAACTACCATATATGCCCAATATAAGACAACCCCAATAAAGGTGAAGGGCAATCCCTATTGCAAAATAAAGTTGAATAATATAAACTTTAAGGGATATAGATGAAATAGTCAGACATCTACTTGAAATATGTATTTCTTTACAGAGACATACATATTTTAAATCTTTTTTATATGAAATATTAATTTGGAATGACTGCTTTTGCCCAATCTCAAATTTCAAGAAACTATTTGGTTCAAATTTTTCACAGGTGACCTTGACACCAGTGTCCCCAACATCTGGTGGTGTGTGTGGCGGGGGTGGGGTTGGGGGGGGGTGGAATGTGCTTTTTTTGGTTTTCTAGAGCACATCTCATTCACAGGGACCCAGATGTGAAACACAGCCCTTTTGGTCCATGTGTCAGGTGACCACTGGACACTGCATCCCCTCTATAGGTACCATCTGCATAACATTAGGACAGTTGGGGCTTCACTTGCTGGAGGTGTGTGTTTGTGACTGCACAACATTGCCACTTATTTGAGTGCTCCGAAAGTGACCTTCAAAAGACCCATGTACCACACCTGCCTCCCTTGCAGTCACAAAGTCCCATTCGCACTGCATTGCTTTATATGAGTGAAATTTCCTCGACTCCTTTTATAGTCTGGTCTCTATATGCACCCTAAACTCACATGGACTGAGTTTGTGTCGCACTTATGCACCTTTCCCAAACAGGACTTTGTGTTTAAAAAGTAACGAGAGAGCACTTGTAATATGAGAAGTTAGCAACTCAACTACAAGACAACCTTCTGTTCAGACCTACATGATAAGTCAGGGCACGGTGGGGATTAGAGAAGGCTTCCTGGAGGCGCGGGCTTTGAGCTAATCTTGAAGAATGAGAACACTCTGGGCTGGGTCAGACACTCCAGGCAGTAGACACAGGAACAGCTGAGCTGGGGGACAGGGCGGGAGGCTCTCCTGCCCCCCTTTCATTCACACAGCTCTAGGCCAGCTGTGCCCCTTACCCGCTGGGGAATCTTGGGCACTTCTCCACTCTCTGAGAATTATTGCCTATCTGTGAAGTGGAGGTAATGATGCATATTTCATAAAGTCTTAAGGGATACAAGAGCATGGAATGTAGGGCCAGAAAAAAAACTGGTTCGGAATTGGGCCTTTTGGACAAGTCATTGCACCTCCTGAGCCTCAGTGTTCGGATCTGCACCATGGAGCCCAGTGAGGGCAGAGATTAGCAGGCTTCACTTCCGGCTGAGTGTGGTCTGGGTTCCTGCACAGACAGGAGAGGTACTCAGAAAATACCTGTGGGGTGAATGAATGAACCAGGAATGCCTGTTACTCTCTCTGCCAGGGACACTCTCCCCATGGTTGATTCCTTGCTGACGTGTCCCCCAAGTTCTCCTTGAGCCCCCCCCCCATCACCCCATCACTCTTATCTTGTTTATTTTCTTTCTGGCTTTGATCATTATATTGTGTGATCTTAATTGCTTGTTATTTCTGTCTTCACCACTAAGCATGCTTTGTCTGTATTGACAGTGCCCAGCACATAGGATGTGCTCAATAAACACTTTAATGAATGCGTGAAAGGATTCATGAATACGGGGTCCCTCCTCCCCACCTTTGGACACTGCTTATGTTTCTCCTAATTGTAGGTTCGTGATCCTACTCCTGCTCCAGTCACCTGGCTGGACTGCCTTCTTCAAGCCCTTTAGTATATATACTGTCTGAGGTGACCTTCTGCCTGTGTGTGTAGGTCCCCCACCCCCTGCACTCAGCATACTGTGCTCTGCCTGGTGGAGGGATTGGCCCCTTGTGGCCCAGCGCCTAGAAGAGGGCTTGGCGCACAGAAGGCCTTCTCAAAATATTGGAATAAATGAGTAAAAAAGGCCAGCAAACTGACAAGCCTGGCATCCCAGGGCGCCCAGCTGCCCGGCGTGCCTAGCAGCCCCAGGCGCCGGAACCGGGAGCGCGGGAGACTCGGCGGTTGTCCTCCAGCCGCCCGACGCAAACTTTCAAAAGATGCGGCGGCCTCGGCCCCGCCCCGCCCTAAGAGGTTGGAGGCGGCAGAAGGTGGGGGCGGAGCCCGCTAGCCCGAGCCGGTGGCTCCGCCTCCTCCTCCCGCAGCCACCGCCTCCCTCCCGGCTCCCGCCCGAGCTGCCGTCCGCCGGCTTGCCGGTGCAGCCGTGATGCCCCGCAGCCCGACCCTGGCCTGGGTCCCCGGTTCACCGCGTAATTAGCCTCCGTGCGCCCCGAGCGCGCCGCCACCAACGCCGCGCCCCGAAGCAGTGATGGGCAACACGGTGCACAGGACCCTGCCAGGTACGCCAGGGAGCACTGCCCGGGAGGCGGGCGTTGGGGTTCTACTCTCCCTGGGGTAACCGCTGGGTGACTTCCGGAGAGCCATCCCCGCCTTGGAGCCCTCGGCGTCCAGCGGGCTAGAGTCTCCAGTGCCTCCCGCACCCCAAATCCGCGTGCGCCCCGCGGCTGGGCTTTGCGCTCTGGGAGGGCGGGTGCAGCGTCCTGGTTACCTTGGGGACCCTCGGCCTTGTTCTCCTGGCTTTGGCCAGATGAGCCGGGGCGATGCCGAGCGCCCCCTCTCCTTTGTTCCAGCCGGAGGGCGCAGATGAGGGAGCTTGGGACGCCCCGGGGGGGTGACTGGAGCCGGGCTCCCCAGGGCTTCCGACGGCCAGCGCTGCCTGTTGTGTGGAGACTGCAGCTGTTGAGAGCGGGGGTGCCTCAGAGGTACCCCAGTTTCCAGCCGCCTACCGCCCCCGCGGCACAAGCTGCCTTGGTTTGGCGACGTTCCCACGCGCACCCCGGCTGCGCCCCCCTCTGGTGTCGGCTCAACTAGGGACTCTAGCCCCTCGGAGTCGCCGCTGCAGAGCGCATCGCCCCCTAGTTAAAACCACCGTAGAATTGCCGGGGCCAAAGTAAGGGAGTAGAGGGTGGGGTCGGGTGGGAGTGGGGAGGCACAGGAGGCCTTACTAGAGAATACCCGGTAATTGTGCGGACAGTCCAGCGCTTGGAGGCTCTGTGTCTGGCATATCCCGGTGCGATATGCAAAGAGGGTATGCAAAGAAGCTTCTCAGGAAAGGGAAATATGTGAACCCCAGATTTACAAATGAAGAAACTGAGGCTCAGGAGTGGAAATGACTCACCCAAGGTCACACCACTAGTAGGGGGAGAATCTGACGTGAGACCCGCTTCTGTCTGCCAGCCCTCCTCGCACCCCACAAGTCTTTAGAATAAGTCTTTATTTTGTTTTAAGGCTGGGTATTTGTAGCATCCTTTATGCAGAAGGTAAGGGGTGTGTGTGTATGTGTGTGTATGTGTGTGTGTGTGTGTGTTTAAAGCACAAAAGTCAGTGGGGAAGCAAGTCAGCTGTGGATAAATTTAGTGTGAGGTTTTAGGAGGAGAGGGACATATAACCCCATCTCTGCTCTAACACTCTCATATAGCTCCCTTCTAGGTGTTATATCAAACAATAATTATTTCTTTCCCTGGAGAGGATTGAAACGGACAATGCTGAGCCCTGGATTTCCAAGGTCAGCTTATGGAAGAGAAGCCAACTCCTACTTTATAAGCCTCTGGGCAGCTTTCAGGCCACTGCACTCAAACCTCCAAACTCTCAGGTGAAGTCACTAGCTAGTTAGTGGCAGAGTCAGGATTGAGCCCAGGTTCATTTACTGGAGGGCGGCCTCCACCTCTAACTGACAGGGCTATTGCCCAATGGAGGAAAACCCACCCACCCAGGCAGGAGGTGTCCAAGGATGTTGGCAAATACTGCAGCATCTCCCAGCCAGAAAGACATCAGGTGGAGGCATGGGCCCCTTTGTAGGTGTTCTTAATTAAGAAATAATTGTGCTGTTGTAGTAAAAAAGCCATTCTGCCACCTGTGGGTCAGGTTGGGGTGGGTGAAGGGACAGACACTGCCAGGCGAGCTAACTAGCTGGAGATGATGTAGTCTCCATCCAGCTCGGCCCTCACTCTGTGGACTAGGCCACTCTGGGCTGGGAGCCTGGGGTTAGGCTGGTTACCTGCCGCAGTAGCTCAGTGTGAACAATTCAAACTGTCCACTGGGGCTGAAGCTTGCACTGAGTTTGAGGAAGGGGACAGAGCTGGAATCCCTGAGCCACATCACGTGGCAGCTGCCAAGAATGTGAAGGGCCATTTATTACTTTTTGACCTCTTTGGGATTCGTTTCTCACACACATTGTGCCGTTTTTTACACCGCTGTGCTCAGCACTCGATGTTCCCCACACCTGGAATATCCTTTCTTGTCCATCTTTCAAAATCTCTTCCTCCTCCAGGAAGCCTTTCCTGACCACCCACACCCAATCCTATCTTTCGCTACCTAGATCCCCTCTTTAGTCTCTGCTTGTTCATCTGACCACGTTGCATTGTGATTACTCCACAGCTCGCCTCGGGACAGAGGTCGTGTCTTGACATCTTGTATCACTGGGTGATATACTAGATTGCCTGCCGGCCCAGAGGCTGGTGCCTGGCAGGGGCTCAAAACCTGGCAATGGAGCTCACATGTTGCCTGCATCTTAGGCTAAAAGAACATTCGGCTCAGCCTTGCCCCGTAGAAATCCTTGTGCTTTCATTCTCAGGAAAAGGACACATGCGTGGGGTCCCTTTTACGGGACTTGAAATAGAGAGCTGGCATTTGCTGAGCACCTGGATTCCGTGCCAGGGTTCCTGCGTATGTGGCTTCATTTACATGCCAAGCACGCTTTTCCTTAAGGCTCTGCACTGGAACCTTCTTCCCCCAGACCTCCACATGGCTCCCACCTCACTTCCTTCAGGTCTCTGCCAGTGCCCCCAGCACTGCCCTCTCTCTCCTCCCACCCTGCTTTGTGTTTCTCCTGGGTCACCATGTGCCATGCCATGTGGGTAGTTAGCTGCTGACTGTCTAAACAGGGGGGATGTTGTCTTTTTATTCACTGCTATGTAGTCAGCACCTGGAGCAGTGGCTAGTACATAGTAGATGTTCAGTAAATGTTGAATGAATGAATGCACTTAATTCTTGCAACAGCCCTGCAAGGTAGGGATTATCATCTTCATCTTACAGATAAGGAACCCAGAGCTCACAGGGCTCATCCAGCTGACAGAACCAGGATTGAAATCCAGGTTTATTTAGCTCCAAAGTCCTGAACTGTGCTTCCGACATGCAGGACCCTCCCAATCCGTGACTCAGATAACACTTATTGGGCACCCCGTAATCCCGTAAACGGGGTGCTATTGTGTACAATAAGGAAACACCAAAGAAAGGGAATGTCCTTTATGATTGATTGCAGGGACGCCCCTTGGCAGCCCTGGCAGAGGGCATCAGCAATTCAGATGAATGCCCTATAAATAGAAGTGAGTAGGGTTCAGCAGGGAACTCGCATTGGCTAAGCTCCTGCTGTGTGCATCACCTATTCTCTTTCTAATTGCAATTCAATTCTGCAATGTGAGGTGCTGTTCCCCATTTTACAGGTGAGGAGACTGAGGCCCAGAGAGGCTAAGACACTTGCCCCAACTCACACACTTAGGCAGTGGCAAAACTGAGCTTAGAAGACCCAGGGTCTATCTTATTCCTAAAACCACATGGGCCTTTTCTCTGGACTCCATTAGCCTTACCCTGGGCTTTGTAAGGGGAAGGCAAGTGTAAACACGTGGGGCTGTGGAGGGCAGAATTCCTGGGGGAGAAGAGGGAAGGACTGAGGAAGAGGAGGCCGTCTTCCCCTTATTGCCCCATCTGCACATTTCAGTCCCTTCCCTCAGTGTGCCTCTGGGGCTCGCCGAAGGCCTGGTTGGAAAGGAGGCTGAATTCAAACAGCCCTTCAGATTAATCATTAAGCCGGTCCATGCTTGAGCAAGTCAGCTGCCTTCTTAGTATTCTTCAGTCACCTGGCTTCCTGGAGCTTTGGAGCCAGGGAAGTGTGTTGACCCTGCTCTGTGTCAAGCCCTTATTGTCTGTTTTAAATCCTCATAACAACCCTTGCGAGAGGCTCTATTTATCCCCATTTTACAGGGAGGCACATGGAGGCTCAGAGAGGTCAAGGACAAGGGCACTATCCTCAGAGTGAGGGGGGAACCAGTCTTCCTAACCTAGGCGGACAGTCTACAAATGCTGTGTCCAGAATGGGAGGGGGGGGTGCGTGCTCCTACCCGGACCCCTCGGATGTTGTCCCCGCAGAGCCCGTGGACTAGGAGCGCATGGGTGCAGGGCCCATGGGGGTCAGGTCTGCTGCTCCCTGGCAGCAGGTGGTAATGCTTCGGGGGCCTGGCAGCCACTCTTTTCCCTGGATCTGGACTTTCTCAGCCCTTGGGAGGACAGGGGCCTTTGTCCCTCTCATTAGAGCCATCAAAATAGCTATGTGTAACCCAGTGACATTCCCCTGTCCCTGCCCCATCTGCCTCCCTCCCTTCCCGCTGAGCGAGAGGCCCTAGTGACAGTGGTTCCTCCGGCAGCCCTGAAACCTACAAGGCTGTCAACATGTTGTTGGGGGCCTGACAAGTCAAGGCTTCTTGGTGACAGCCCACAGGTTTGCTGGGGCTGGAGTGGGGATGGAAGGGTGGAGTGGTCTCATCCATCAGTGGAAGCGAGGAAGAGGGTTGAGTCTGTCCAGTGCCCGTGGAGAATCAGGAGCCAGAAGGAACTGGTGCCTTCCTTTGGTTTTAGCCTCTTCCTCCTCCCTTCACTTTCTCTCCCCTGGCAGGAAAGGAGGGATCTCTGGGACTATGGGAGTACAGGAAGGCTGCATGGAGGAGATGACACCTGAAGGAAAGTTCAACTTGCTGTCTGCCTCCCCCACTCGAATATCATCTCTAGCATCTTCTGTGGTTCTGTCACCCCAAGGCCACCCTGATCTCCACTTAAGTGTCACATGTCCAGGCTGGGGTGACCCTGGGGTGTACTCTGCTGTGTATCTTCCTGTGTGTGCACCTTCATTCATGTATCTGACATCTATTAGGCACCTTCATGTGCCAGGCACTGGAGGTTCAGCTGCAAATGAGATGGCCAGCTGGTATCGGCCCTCATGGAGCTGGCTGCTGGTAGAAGAGGAATAGAATGTTCTAATAGAATGGGACAACTAGTTGATTATATCACTGGAGAGCATAGGTGCTCATACCCTGTGCCTCAGAGAGGGAGGGGTTGGTGCCTAGCGCCCCAAACAAGGCTTAGCCACCAGACCGAGCCGTCTATAATGACGTAGAATAAAATATCAAGTGCATTCGTGTAGTAAGAGTATTTTTGCTTCATAAACCTTTGTTTCAGGTATATGTGTGTGTGTGTGTGTGTGTGTGTGTATTGTGTGTGTGTCACAGCGTGAAATGTTTTTCTATCATGGGTTGCAGTGATTAAGGCTCATAAGACCACTCACTGGTCAACTATAATGGGAGGTCTAGTGTCCTGGTCTAGAGCACAGATCTTGCAGTCAGGCTGCCTGGGTTCAAATCTCAGCTCAGCCATTTCTCAGTGGAGTGATTTTGGGCAAGGTACTTCTCTGTCTGTGCCTCAGTGTCCTCGCTGTGAAACGGGGAGCATGGGGGTGACTCCCTCACGGCTGGCAGTGGTGAGAATTACCCAGAGCAGGCAGTCTTAGTGCAGTGCCCAGGGCATTCACTGTCATGGTTTTTGTCGCTGTTGCCTTGAGCCTGCCCCAGGGGTCCCTGGACGGGGCTGGCTGACCAGCGCCCTTCACTTCCTGCCATGAAAGCCTTGGCGACCCTGAGCCTGGAGCCCAGGGCTGGACTGAGGGGTATCCCTTTCATGTATGCTGACAACTATCCCCCAGGGTTTCTCAAGCTCTTTCCGAGGCACCTGATTTCTGATGAGGAGAATCTTCTTGGCAGGTCACATTTTCT